GATCGCCTCCTTGCACGGACAGACACCAGGAGGACCTCCTCCTTGCACGGACAGACACCAGGAGGACCTCCTCCTTGCACGGACAGACACCAGGAGGACCTCCTCCTTGCACGGACAGACATGGCCCTCAATCCAAATCAGACTCCCATTCAAGATTGATTTAAAAAATATTGAAATATTCAGCGTCAGTGACAGAGTGACAGGAACGGGCCAGTGTCACTAACCATGACTTCAGTGATCGTTTGCTGTACTTAAAACTGCCCCATGTCTTACACTTTCTCCTAATGTCAAAGGAGAAATAAACACTGTTCAAATAACACTCAAATCTGCTGTTTTCGTGGCCAATTCTCCCATGGCAGAGCAGGGGAAGCGTGACTATTTAATTTTTTTGTTGTTGTTCCTTGCGGGAAGCGGCAGGGGGCGCCGGTCACTGGTGTGGGTGATTAGTGAGGGTGGCCCATCGCTGGGTCTCTGACAGCACTGGGCTCTCTGGTCTCACCTGCTGGGCCGTGCTCAGGGCGCCCTGCCTGGATGTTAGCTCTGCTGGGATTGGTAAGCTCCATGCCTCCTCTATACTGGGAAGCATTTTACTGTTACTCTGCAGACTACTCTGTTGGAGGTTACACAACTGAGCCTAGGGAAAATCGCGTAAAAACACATTTAAGACTGCTCTTAAGACGAGGTCGGCTCTCCTACCATGTGTGCTAATGTAACAGAAGTGATCAGACACAATATACACACACACAAGTTAGTGCTTAACTGTTATGGCTGCATTGTAAACATTAAATGAATTCAATAAAACAAATCAATATAAAATCAGTGGAAATAGCTGATTCATGAACAGTTATTGGTGAAAAATGTGCTCACACACATCAACATCCATATGCGTGCTGTGCATGTTTAAACAAAAGACGACAATGCAGACATTTAGGGGGAGGTGGGGGGGAGACACACAGTGGCACTGGGGGCAGTAGGTACACCTCAGAACAATGCCCCACCCCCCACCAATGCGGGGGGGAGGGGCACAGAAGACGCTCACAGGAGAGAGCAAAGGTTAAAACTGTACAGGCAGGTTTTGGCGTGTAGAAGTGAACGGGGGGGGGCATACCTGCAGGCATTTGATGCGGGCCAGGAGGGCGGCGCTGTTGCTGCAGTTTTTGCTGCGTGTCGCGTTGATGTAACACTTGATGGCGTCGTGGGGCTGGTTGCAGGACTCGTACAGGGTGCCCAGGTCCATCCAGGCGGCGGCGTGACCGTGGTCCAGCTGCACCGCACAGATGTAGGCCTGCAAGGCATCCATCGGCTGGTTCTGCTGCTGGTAGAGCACACTGCGGGGGGGGGGGGGGCAACAGTCACTCAAAGTGAAACAAATGAAATCGTTCCTCACACCCTCGCCTGGAAGCACCACTCTGGGTGAGCAGCAAGTTACTGGTCCTACTGGAACATCCAGGGGACCAACTGGGGTATCCATGGGAGGGGGGACATAAAGCTGACATGGGGGAGGGGTGTGTGTGTGTGTGTGGGTGTGTGTGTGTGGGCAGGGGGTGGCCCTAAAGACTCACCAGAGCTTGATGATCAGATGCCACCCCCGACCAAGAAGGGCTTCCACTCTGAGGCCCCCACCCAACCCAAGGCGGGCCCCTTACCCTATTGAGCACCACGTGTCAGCGCTGGCTTCCGACTTGTCGATGGATTGGCGGTAGGAGATGAAGGCATCCTGGACCTTGCCAATACTCGAATAGCACCTGGGGGGTGGAGGCGGGGGTTAGATTGTACACAGACAGAAGCGGAACAGAGCCTGAGGGACTGTAGCTGGGTGGGGGCTTCAGTGAGGACACCAGACAGCATGATGCTCTCCTCAAGCACAAACCGCAGTGTGGACGTGGACTGGTGTACACACACACGAATACACGCATGCACACGTGCAACAAAAATGGTTGTAGTAAAAGGCAGTGAAGCACGTCTGCAGGCTGCTGCAACGCTGGAGCTCAGCCAGGCCACAGAGGACTGATTACACGTTGCCTGCTGCTCAGGACACGCACACGCACACACACACACACACACACACACACACACACACACACACACACA